ACTTTCCAATGGCCAGCTGCATTTGCTTCCTTCTCTCTCTCTTTCTTTCCATCAACTTGAGCCTCCCAAACAAGCAACTCATGGTAAGAAATTGAAAAACTGAGAAGAAAATGAAAGAAAAATAGGTAAAATCTTTATGAAAACTTTCTTTCTGGTTTCTTATTTGATTTTATGTTTCTGACTACTCATATTTATTATGTGACATAAAGAAATTAATTTATAATGGTAAATACCCGAATAATTTTCATTGATTTCTGAATGTTATGTTAATCTGGTGTTACAAAATGCAGGGTTTTTGCATTACATTGTTGTATTTTATATTTTTTTTTTTATTTTTATTGTCTTTTCATTGAACTATTTATACATTATTCTAACATCACCAGTTCCAATGGAACATGGTGCATTGCCTCATCCACTGCTTCTGAAGATGATATTAAAAAGGGCCTCGATTGGGCTTGCGGTTCTGGAAATGTGGACTGCTCAGCTATTCAGTTGAGCCAGCCTTGTTTTGAGCCCGATAGCCTGGCATCTCATGCATCCTTTGCATTCAACAGTTACTATCAGCAAAATGGAGCTACTGAGATATCAGGCCCGGTTCTGGACCAAGGCCAACTAGGCAGCTGCCTAGGGCCTCATAAAAAAATAAATTTTGGCCCAAAACCCAACCGAAGACCCATCCGAAACCTGCCCAATTACTCAAAATAACCTACTTTACCAACTAGAAGAGATGGTTTAGGGCAGATACGCGGAACGACAGCAAGATCACAAGTAAGTGTTCACAACTGAAGTAGACTAGTAGAAGAAATTACAAATAATTGGTGGGAGCAAGGACTTTCCAATGGCCAGCTGCATTTGCTTCCTTCTCTCTCTCTTTCTTTCCATCAACTTGAGCCTCCCAAACAAGCAACTCATGGTAAGAAATTGAAAAACTGAGAAGAAAATGAAAGAAAAATAGGTAAAATCTTTATGAAAACTTTCTTTCTGGTTTCTTATTTGATTTTATGTTTCTGACTACTCGTATTTATTATGTGACATAAAGAAATTAATTTATAATGGTAAATACTCGAATAATTTTCATTGATTTCTGAATGTTATGTTAATCTGGTGTTACAAAATGCAGGATTTTTGCATTACATTGTTGTATTTTATATATATTTTTTATTGTCTTTTCATTGAACTATTTATACATTCTGACTACTCGTATTTATTATGTGACATAAAGAAATTAATTTATAATGGTAAATACTCGAATAATTTTCATTGATTTCTGAATGTTATGTTAATCTGGTGTTACAAAATGCAGGATTTTTGCATTACATTGTTGTATTTTATATATATATATATATATATATTTTATTGTCTTTTCATTGAACTATTTATACATTGTTGTATTGCATTACATTGTTGTATTTTATATATATATTTTTTTTATTGTCTTTTCATTGAACTATTTATACATTCTGACTACTCGTATTTATTATGTGACATAAAGAAATTAATTTATAATGGTAAATACTCGAATAATTTTCATTGATTTCTGAATGTTATGTTTATAATGGGTGATTGAATAGAACTTCAAGAATATTGAAATCATTTTGAACAAAATCCAGAAAGGAACTTCAAATTTTGGGTACATGATAACAAGGAGTAGCTGTAGAAATATATGTGACCTAAATTCATTATGAGGACTAGTGAATTATTTGAGGAAGGAGAAGTAACTTTTTGAAAAAATGCTCTGATTGTACGAGGCCCGGTGTTATAGCTATTTTTTATGCATTACTAGTTGGTCTTATTGAAATTTTGAGAACGTTGTAACTTGAAATACTGGAAAATGAGTGAAAAAGGAAATTCATAGTTGATTTAGAGCATGGATTTGTGTTGGTTTACTTGGATTTGATTTTGTTTACAAAATCGAGGTATAAGAAAAATTGATGAAGAACCATTATGAATCTCCACACTATTCATATATTAAATCCAAAAAGTAGTAATTACATAGTCATTAACTGCTTGTCAAATATCCAACATCATGGAATTGGCTGTTTCTAATTCATTATCATGTAATGTGGTAAGGTTATTGTTCAATGTCCAGGACTAAATCACTGTACAGAAGCTCTTCTTGAACAAGAATATTTACGGCTATATATATAAGTTTGAATATTTCTACTTTTGTAAAAATTACATTCAAGGCCTCATAATAATTAATTGCCTAGGGCCTCAAAATTCTCAGGGCCAGCCTTGTGAGATATCTTGCAGTTTTGGAGGAGCAAGGGTCAGAACAAACCAAAATCCAAGTATGTTTTCAAATATCTAACTTCTGATAATGCAATATGTGCTGGCATTGTTTCTCTGCATACAGCTTAATTTCTGTGGAAAACATGTGAAAACTAAATTGTACATATGCATATGCGTTCATTGACATATTTCGACATCTTGTAGAACACATGACATGAGAAAGTAACTTAAACCTACTTGTTCTGCTGCAGACTATGACAACTGTTTATATATGACACAGGGGTAAGTTAATTTTTCAATTAACCATTTCATTTAAAATTTACATACTAGAGTTATACTTGTCCCTAGTTGATCTTTACTTCGACTTGCTTCACAAATTCTACAGGAGCAACGTAACTGCTGCAATCAACGCAACAGCAAGTCCTTCAAAATCTTCATCATCCGTAGAAAAAGTTTCCACATGGATTCCAGGCTGTCTGCTGATGGCTATCCTTCCATTTCTCTAAATCCTTGACTACTTTCGCCTCAGACAGATTTGGCCTTCGGAAGTAAATAATTCTTGCAGATAGGGGCAGAGTCCCTCTTGATAAATAAGACAGGAAGCTTCATCTGGGAATATGTGTTTTGAAGTTGCATGTTGAGATTGTATAGTAATTAGCCCTCCTAAATTTTGAAAATCAATTCCCCCTACCCCCTAAGCAAAAAGGACCGAGAGAAAGAAGAAGATTAATGTGAAAATTTCTTTTCTTGGGAAGAGAGCAGTTAAAAAACCAAATTATTAAGGCTTTTTATTGTAGTTGCATACTGAATGCTCAAGTTTGAGTAATTACGAAGCTTTCTGTTTATAATACTTCTAGCTAACTAGTTGAAACCCAAAATCACGCCAAATTTGTTATTTTCAACTACAATCTTTCTTGGGGTGTCATGTCGATTCCATTTAGATTTATTCTCCTTGTACATTGTGTTAGTTTGATGCTCATTCTTCGAGTAATGTTCTGTAAAATCACATTATGAATTTACGTTCGTTTATTTGCGTGTTATAATTTGAATTGATTATCTAAGGTTCCATAATCATATAGGATGTCACAAATTGTATACTCGATGGATCGGGTATAGTAAGACACAATTTGTAATGTGATCAAAATTATGTCGTTCACAATCGGTTCATAAAGTTGGACGCTTTATGTTGATAAGATTGTATTGTTCCTATTAAGATTTGTCTAAATCTTGAAATATGAACAATAATGTGTTTCGATGCACATTGAACGGGATCACGTAGATAACTCATTTGTGACCGTTTGAAATGAGACTCTACTTGATTATCAAACAGGTCACCTAAATCCTGAGTGAGTAACGTACCTTTGATTGCTAGTTCAAATTCTTTGAGATACCAATGAGTGAAATCTTAAATAGATGATTGATCTCGATGCTTTGGGAATCGGGCCGAAACAATTAGAGATCATATACTTACAATATTGGAATCCATTAATCATTGAGATGAGACGATCGTCACTCTAAGGTATTTCCATAGACAAATTGAATCTAAGCTCATTAGGTCGACGATGAGATCGTTGGACTTTACATTGTAATTTGATCACAACGAATTTGCCGTATGAAAATGGGACTTAGAGGGTAATACATGTTGAAGGGCAAAACGGTCATTTTGCCAATTTCAATATATTGGCGGTCAAATGAGAGTTGACTTGTGGAACGATAATTAGATGATATTATTATTGAATCATAATTTGCTTCTATAACTATCACTCGACTCGAGAGTGCAATCTCGATTTTTTGGTAAAATAAATCGGGATTAATAGATGTATCTCAATTGGTCAAGAGTTGACCCAATTGAAAACATCTATTGGAGCTTAGGTCATATGAATCCAATTAGGTTCCTCTCTTGATTCTAATAAAAGATGTGTGACTTAGTTGGTCTATTACAATAAAGTCTAAGGAAATTTGAACAATTTTCAAACCCTAATAGGTCATTATAAATATGCACTTCATTAGCATATTTTGAATAAGAATTAGGGTTAGCCACTTTTCACATTCCCCAAAAAAGAAATTACACCTAATGAAGAAAAAGGGAGAAGGTCTAAGAGAGGAAGCAATTGGCTAAGCCATTAATAACTCCTTCAAAAAAAAAAAAAAAAAAAAGTTATCATCTCCCCTTTCTATATGTGAGGAGTTTATAATTCAATGATCTCAATGTCAATTAAATCCTTATTTACATGATTTTAATCTTCAAAGGAAAATTAATTTCCTATTGTGATGATTAAAATTTATTAACCAACAAATGGTATTAGAGCCAAGGTTATTGTATGCCTTGAGTAGGATTAATTTTTTTTAAAATCCTAGTGTAATATGCATTTTAGTTGAGTGGTGTTAGGTTATTTGATTTTGACATGTTTATGGTTTAAATATGTTTAAAGTTATTGTTGATACACTCATAATCACTTTTGGCCCTAGAATTTCTTTTTACTTCCTATTGTAATTCATTTATTATAGCTATTCTCTAGAAATATTGTAAGCCGTAAGGCATTAAGTTTTTTGTATTTTTTCTTCATTTTCATACTTGTATTTTGAGGAAGTAATGTAAACTTGCTGTAATTTCAATGGAGAAGAAGGAAGGACAAAATGCAAGAAATAAAATCAAGAAACACCTAGAGGCAGAGGCGGCGGTGGTGGCCGTCGTGATCTGAGCTATGGCAGCCGCCGCGACCATACATTGGTCGCGGCAGCCGCCATGGTTGCCGGTCACAACAGCCATGGCTGCTGCAATGGCCCCTCTTTTTTTTGGGTCACCGGAGTTGTGTGTACTTTGGTGTTGTGTGTGTTTTCTTGCTAGAGTTTGAAAATTAGGGTAATTTGGATTTTTTGGGCCTCTCTTTAATATTTGGGCCAATGTTATTAGATAATGGCCTTGTTGATTTTAAATTTTGGGTCTAAAAATTAAATTAACCCTATTTTCATGTTACATGAGGTGGATTACAAAGAAGATTGAAGAATTAAGTTGGGATGTAGCCCAATGTAATTCTTTTTATCCATGTTGTAATTTAAATTCTTAGGATAGGCCATTAGTTATTATTATTCATTCAATTATCGTTTTTACAACTTTATGGATGGATGAATGTTCAATTATTATCACATATCATGAAGATTAAATGAAACACCACCCGGTACACTAAAATCATATGCATTTACATTTAAATATTTTTTTATCACTCTAAATTAATTAGAGGTGGTTGAAAAATATTTTATAATTAGCGTCATTATAATTGTTTATATTTGACAGACTAATTAAGTGAAAATCCAACGGTACAAAATAATAAGTGGGAGAGGGTTTATAGGCATGTATAAACCTACAGCCTCCTCCGTCATCCAATTTGTTATTAAAATACGTATGTTTAGTATCGAATTATATCGATCTCCCTATAGAAAAACTACGTTATTTTAGATTAACTGAAATTGAATCTAGTAATAGAATTTCTTTAAAAATGAAATAATGGGATGATCATTCTATAGACGACATCTTATATATTTCGGATATTTTAAAATTATTGACAGAGGTTATTACACTTATATATGAATATTTTTGGGGGACTTCCTATAGAAGATTTGAACAAAATTATTCACATGCCAAATAATAATAAATCCTCTTTTTCTTGTGGCATGAGATGCCTAGCTCAATAAAATAAGTGGAGGGTCCCAACCTTGCCAACAACTACATTGACCTCCTATAGAGGGCGTGTTAAAAGTTGTAAGGATTTAAGGTTTTTTTATTACAAATTTAGTTTTGGGTCTATATTTGCATATTCATATACATGCATCATAAAAATATTATTGCTCATTTTATTAATACGTGAATCGTTAATTTTACAGAAAATGTCGCTTAATCCATTATCAGTAATACTTAACAAAAATCAACTTGTGGGAGAAAACTATGTTAACTGGAAAAAGAATCTTAATATTGTTCTTACCGCTGAAAAACACAAAATTGTGCTGGATGAAGTTTGTCCCGAAACCCCTAAAGATGACTCCAAGGAATTTCAAAAGGCTGCATATGAAAAGTGGCATCATTCTGATGAGATGGCCCATTGTTACATTTTGACATCCATGTCAAATGTATTACAATGGAAACATCAAAATATGCAAATTGCTTTTAACATAATGAAAAGCCTTCAAGAAATGTTTGGACATCAAAGCCAACAAGTTAGGTAAGCCTCCATTAGGGCAATCATGAACACACGCATGAAACCGGGTGCATTTGTAAGGGACCATATATTAACCATGATTGGTCACTTTAATGCTGCAGAGGTTTTAGGAGCTGACATTGATTCCGAGACGCAAATTGACATGGTCTTTGAAACTCTTCCTGAGATGTTCTCACAATATATAGTTGATTATAATCTACACAAGATGAACATGTCTCTGACAGAATTAATGAAAGAGCTACAAAATGCTGAATTTGTTCCAAAAGCTAGGACTGGAAGTGCTTTAACTATTACAGCCGGACCCTCTCATCCTAAACCTTCTAGTGGCAAAGGAGGAAAGAAGAGGAAGAGGCCAAACAAAAAGCCAGATAGCAAGTCAAAGGGGAAAAAACTACTGCCGATGGGAAACCAAAGGGAAAGTGTTTTATTTGTGGACAAAAGGGTCACTGGAAGAAGAACTGCCCAGATTACCTAGCTAAGATAAAGGCAATAATGCCCTATTCATTGAGTCATACTTAGTGGTTGATTCTACTAATACCTGGATTGGAGATTCTGGAGCCACTAATCATGTTTGCAATTCTTTGTAGGGGTTCCAGGAAACCAAGCATCTCAGTGAAGGGGAGTACACTCTTAGGGTTGGCACAGGAGCAGTGGTATCTACCAAAGCTGTTGGCACTTTTACTTTATGTTTTGAGAATCGTAAGTATTTGAAAATGATTGTTATTATGTTCCCGAACTTACACGGAACTTGGTTTCCGTTGCACTTTTAAATCATGTTAGTTATTCGGTACTTTTTACCCGTTCTACGGTGGTTATTAAATTGAATAATTCTGTTATATGTTCGGGTCATATGGTTAATAAACTTTATGTCTTAAGTCCTTTGATTGGCTCTATACATAACACTACTACTGCTAAGAAAAGAAAGAGATCGTCTAGTACTAATGAAACTCTCTTATGGCATCTTAGATTGGGTCACATCAATCTAAATAGGATTCAAAGATTGGTAAATGATGATCCTTTAAATGAGTTAGAGGTGGAATCTATACCAACTTGTGAATCTTATATAGAAGGAAAGATGATCAAGAGGCCCTTTAAGGCTAAGGAACTAAGGGCTAAAGAGGTTTTGGAATTAGTACATTCCGATGTTTGTGGACCTATTAGTACTCGGGCTAAACAAGGATACGAGTACTTCATCACCTTCACAGATGATTACTCTAGATTTGGATACAAATACCTTATATCTCACAAATCCGAAGCTTTGGAGAAATTCAAGGAGTTTCGGACAGAAGTTGAGAAACAATTAGGTAAGAGTATCAAGGCCCTTCGATCTGATCGAGGTGTCGAGTATCTATCCCCAAGAGTTTAAGTTCTATTTACCGAATAATGGGATATTATCCCAATTGACCATTATCCCAATTGAGCGCACCAAGAACTCCCCAACAGAATGGTGTCTCGGAAAGAAGAAATTGAACTCTTTTAGATATGGTAAGATCAATGATGAGTTATTCCTCATTGCCTATATCCTTTTGGGGATATGCACTACAAACAGCCATTTATATCTTGAATTTGGTACCATCTAAGTCAGTTCCCAAGACACCTCTTGAATTGTGGAATGGGCGCAAGCCCATTTTATACCATATTCGGATATGGGGATGTCCAGCACGTGCTAAAGGGAAAGGCAGATAAGATGGAATCAAGATCAGATGTTTGTTTCTTTGTAGGATATCCAAAGGGAACGAGAGGTTACTACTTCTATAATCCTCTTGATAAGAAGGTATTTGTTAGCACAAATGCAACCTTCAACCTTCTTAGAGGATAAGTATATAGAAGAATACAAGTCTACTACTAAGATTCTATTGGAAGAGATGTTAGAACATGGTTCAAACAACTCAGTTCCAGATTTCCGCATAGAATCTAATAGTGATGACTTGGAACCTCCTACTGAACCAATGGTTGCTGATGAACCAAGTGAGCAAGTGACGCCCACAAGGCCTCATAGGCAAATAGAACCAAAGATAGTAGAAAATGAGGCATCTATTGTTGTATCTCCACATGTTCCTACAAATGGGTATAATGAGGATGTTGTTCCTAACCAAGGACAAGATCAAACAATGGGAAGAGAGGAAGGACATTTGGTCAGACTAGACAATCAGGCACCTTCAACTATTACTCGTAGTGGGAGGGTTGTGAGACCACCTTCTAGGTACTTGCTCTATGAAGAATCCTATCAGGCGATCTCTGCTGAGTAAGAAGAAAATTCCACTTCGTTTAAGGAAGCAATGGAGGATGTAGACTTTGAATCATGGAAATTAGCCATGAACTCAGAAATGGAATCCATGTATTCCAACAAGGTTTAGGATCTTGTAAATGCATCTAATGAGGTAAAGCCTATAGGATGCAAGTGGGTCTATAAAAGGAAAAGAGGTATAGATGGGAAGGTTGAAACCTTCAAAGCAAGGCTAGTGGCCAAGGGTTTTACCCAAAGAGAAGGCATCGACTATGAAGAAACATTCTCACCGGTTGCCATGCTTAAATCTACTCGAGTCCTTTTATCCATTGCCGCTCTTATGATTATAAAGTTTGACAAATTGATGTCAAGACAGCATTTTTAAATGCACGTCTTGAGAAGACCATTTACATGATGCAACCTGAAGGGTTTGTGAAAGAAGACCATGAAAGGAAAGTTTGCAAGTTGTAGAGGTCCATTTATGGACTCAAGCAAACGTCCAGATCTTGGAATGTAAGATTTGATCAAACCATCAAGACCTATGGTTTTGAGCAAAATCTGAATAAACCTTGTGTGTACAAACGAATACAAGGGAAGAAAGTAGTTTTTCTTATTCTTTATGTAGATGACATTCTACTCATTGAAAATGATATAGGAACATTGTCATCTGTAAAGAAATGGTTGTCACAGCAGTTTGATATGAAGGACTTGGGAGAAACTAGTTATGTTTTGGGAATCCGTATCTTGCGAGATAGGAAAAACAGAAAGATTGCATTATCTCAAACTTCATATATTGACAAAATATTGTCCAGATTTGCAATGCAAAATTCCAAAAAGGGACAACTTCCTTTTAGACATGGAATTCATTTATCTAAAGAGCACTGTCCCAAGAATGCAACGGAGATAGATTACATGAGAAAGGTTTCTTATGCTTCGACTATGGGAAGCCTCATGTATGCTATACTTTGCACTAGACCGGATATTCGTTATGCTGTGGGTATTGTTAGTCGTTATCAGTCCAATCCAGGACCAGAACATTGGGTAGCGGTAAAGTATATACTCAAGTATCTTCGGAGAACGAGAGATTATATGCTTGACTACTCAAAACATGATCTAAATCCTATTGGATATACTGATTCCGATTTTCAATCTGATCATGACCCTAGGAAGTCTACAGCGGGATCAGTATTTACACGGGAGGTAGAGCTGTGGTATGGAGAAGTATCAAGTAATCTTGTATTGTTGATTCCACTATGGAGGCAGAATATGTAGCGGCTTGTGAAGCTACTAAAGAAGCTATATGGTTCAAGAAGTTTCTTTTGGACTTTGACGTGGTACCTTTGGCAATGGGGCACATAACGCTTTATTGCGATAATAGTGGGACGGTTGCCAATGCTAAAGAACCGAGGAGTCATCAGCGTGGAAAACACATTGAGAGAAAATATCACCTTGTTAGAGAAATTGTTCATCGAGGAGACGTGACGGTTAGTAAAATTGCATCAGCAGATAATCTTGCGGATCCGTTCACTAAGACCTTACTAGCTAAGGCTTTTGATGGATATCTTATAGGATGGGTATTCTTGATATGTCACACATACTCTAAGAATGGCAAGTGGGAGATTGTTAGTTTGATACCCATTCTTCGAGTAATGTTCTGTAAAATCACATTATGAATTTACGTTCGTTTATTTACGTGTTATAATTTGAAATGATTGTCTAAGATTCCATGATCATAAAGGATGTCACAAATTGTATACTCAATGGATCGGGTATAGTAAGACACAATTTGTGATGTGATCAAAATTATGTCGTTCACAATCGGCTCATAAAGTTGGACGCTTTATGTTGATAAGATTGTATTGTTCTTATTAAGATTTGTCTAGATCTTGAAATAAGAACAATAATGTGTTTCGATGCACATTGAACGGGACCGCGTAGATGACTCATTTGTGACCATTTGAAATGAGAATTTACTTGATTATCAAATAGGTCACCTAAATCCTGAGTGAGTAATGTACCTTTGATTGCTAGTTCAAGTTCTTTGAGGTATCAATGAGTGAAATCTTAAATAGAAGATTGATCTCGGTGCTTTGGGAATCGAGCCGAAACAATTAAAGATCATATACTTACAATATTGGAATCCATTAATCATTGAGATGAGACGATCGTCACTCTAAGGTATTTTTCTAGGCAAATTGAATCTGAGCTCAGTAGGTCGACGATAAGATCGTTGGACTTTACATTGTGATTTGATCACAACGAATTTGCCGTATGAAAAGGGACTTAGAGGGTAATACATGTTGAAGGGCAAAACGGTTATTTTGCCAATTTCAACATATGACAGTCAAATAGGGGTTGACTTGTGGAACGATAATTAGGGGATATTGTTATTGGATCATAATTTACTTCTATAACTATCACTCGACTCAAGAGTGCAATCTCGATTTTTTGGTAGAATAAGTCGGGATTAATAGATGTATCTCAATTGGTCAAAAGTTGATCCAATTGAAAACATCTATTGGAGCTTGGGTCATGTGAGTCCAATTAAGTCCCTCTCTTGGCTTCAATAAAAGGTGTGTGACTTAGTTAGTCTATTACAATAAAATCTAAGGAAATTTTTGCAATTTCCAAATCCTAATAGGTCATTATATATATGCACTTCATTGGCATATTTTGAATGAAAATTAAAGTTAGCCACTTTTCACATTCCCCAAAAAAAAGAATTACACTTGGTGCAGAACAAGGGAGAAAATCTAAGGGAGAAAGCAATTGGCTAGGCAATTAATAGCTAATTCATAAATAAAATAAAATAAGTTATAATCCCCCTTTTGTATATGTGAGGATTTTATAATCCAATGATCTTAAAGTCAATTAGATCCTTATTTACATGATTTTAATCTTCAAAGAAAAATTAATTTCCTATTGTGATGATTAAAATTTATTAACCAACACATTAGGGGTGCCATAAGGGTGTCCATAATGGACACCCGACACCCCCCTATTGGAGGGACATCAGTGGGGCCCCTCCCATTTATATTATTCACACTCTTTAGAACTAATTTAGCATTTTGTGATTATTTTTCGTCTAATAAAACAATTGAAACTGATGTTAGCAAAGGTTGCATCTCTTTCACACAAGGGCAACATGCTGAAAATTACATGGCAAGTCCATGAAATGCATCTTCCTTCCTTATATACCAACATGAAAGGGTTATAAATGCCTTTATCCCCCAGCCCGCAAATATTTTGTCAATAAAGACGTGAAATTCTTTTAACCAAGTCCTACTTCACCTAATCTTCTCTTCACGGGCAGACTGTAAGATCAGTTCCAGAAGGCCCATTTTGCATCAGTGTTGCAACTTTACCTGTAAGAGTGAAACCCTCGAAATCGAACTCGAGGAGAGCATCATGAAGGGAAAGTTAGGGGTAGGGAGCAAATTATCAGGGGAGTAAGAGAGCAAGAACAATTAGGTAACCAGAGAAATAATGGCCAAGAAATCATGAACAATTAGAGTTAAAGATAACTCTAGGACCGCTCTACCGAGACTCGAGTAGAAAACGGGATCGGGTGCCGTTAGAACGAGGTGAGCTAATAATCCCGAGCCTAGTCAAGAAACTGCAGTAGACCTATTTTGACTAATAGCTATTAGAAAGGATGTTAGTAATGTACTCAACACACCTCTATAAAGTTTGACTGGCAAATTTCTTCGGAGAGAAGTTTCTACCAAAGAAACGATGACGCCAATGACAAGGGATAAAAGTTCATTCCAGTAGCCAAAAAGAAATTTGTCTTTCATGATCCTGGTAACTTTCGGCTAAGCCCCTAATGTAAGAAAACAATATCACAATTCTTACATGAATCATGCCCATCCGGGTAGTTTTCCTTGCTTGCCCAAGGTTGAGCCCTAAAATTTGGCAATGGATCTAAAAGCTACGTAACTCTTGAATTCATCTAAAACCATAAAATCACAATTCGAACTTGATTCATTTTAGAATTTTTCCATACCATATGTGACTACCCCCTTGCAGCTCTTAGAGGAGGCTTCAGCCAAACATCCTAACAGAAGGCATGTGTAAATATACGGGGAAAAAACCACTATAAAGCTGATAATGAAAGCCATGTAATGCAAATCCAAATACCCATAATTAAAAACTCAAAAATACATAATTTATTCACAAGAAATCGTGATAACAATTTCCATAAACAGAAAATGCAAAGACAAATCTTGTTCAGTTCAGGAACAGATCACACTATTTATCGCTTCTCAAACACCAGACTATTTGTCATGAACAAGACCCCAAAGCAACATCAGATACTTGTATCAGGTTTCACTGCAAAAAACTCCAACAGCGTACAATTAACTCAAGGTGGTATGAATGGTTAAGTTCTCTCTTTTCACAAAAAAAATAAATAAATAAATAAAAATGGTGAAAGAAAAGTAGTACATACCAAAACAATCAAAGACCCTGATCAATAAGATAATCACCAATTTTTTCAACAACCATGTTGCACTGTCCTGGAGTCATTGGCTCATCATAGATGCCAATGATTAAGGCCATAGTGGTCTTTTTTACTGTAACTCCACCAGGTCCCTGAAGAGAGAAAGAAAAATAATCAAAAGAGGTTGTCCACGGGGTTAAATCGTATTTTCACAACAAACAAAAACACGGGCTTGCACGAACATGCATACATATATAAATAGAAGAAAAATGCCCTAGTTGATATGCGAAGGACCTGGGCCTTGTTTTCAATCCTTAGGAAGCAGTCTCAAAATTCAATTTCAACAAAACTCATTTGGTCAATCGAACGCTAAAGCCACATTTATCCACAGCTGAATTTACAAACTCCAGCAACTACTAGAAACATATTCACAAGTCATAAGTTGAAGCAGAAACAGAGACAAAAAAATATACCTTCTTCCCTCGGATGACAACCCCAGGCTCACCTTGAATTACCATGTATTTAATACCACCAAGATACAAACCAGTAGGAGCAAGTGAACCAGAATTTTCAAAATCATTCATGATAGCAGTGATTTCATCAGGCTTGAACTACACCCAGAATTAATCAGAAGAAAGAATGTTAGTACACCCATAAAACGTGGAGAAAACATATTTTTTTTCCAGAAGAAAATTAGTGCAATTTCATATCTATATGGTTTTATTGCATTATTGACTTCTCTCTACTTCCATCAACAAAATTACTACACTTACTAATTTCCACCCATCTTATGTTGAATATATTATGATCCACTACATCATAATGTTGGCTGCTATATCACACTTCCTTAACTGTTATCACTCATAAATAAAACTGATATGAAACACTAATCAAAAAAGAGCTTCTACAGTCAAACTCAATACAATATCTTCATTTTCATGCCCCCAAACAGAAAGTAAGTATTTTAACATATTTGAAAGTTTAAAGGAATAAATATTACAAATTGGTAAGCAAGGCACAGAAATAAAGGCATTTCATTTGGATAAACATTTAAAAAAAAAAAGGCTGGATCAACGAGGTGAAACTCATTTTCATTAAATACATACAAATAACTGATTTAATTGGTATCCGAAATCAGACAAACCTAATTAAAATTAATCATTAACAATAAAAACGAAAAAATAAAATTAATCAAAAAGCTATATCAAAGATGAAAAGGCTCAATATAAAATATAAATCAAGGTAAAAAAATAAATTTAATAAAATACAAACAAATAATTGACGTAATGGATATCCAAAATCAGATCAGATCACGTCATCAGCATTCTTACAATCCTGACATATTAAATACTCAGAAGATCTAAAATTGAACTGAAAAACGAAAACCATTCGACAAATAAAACTGTAAAAAAAAAAAAAAAAAAAAGACCTGAGGGAAGGTAGTGCTCTGAGCCCAGACACTGCCATCATGACCGAGGATGGCGGCGGCGGCGAGGTGGTTACCTTCAATATCCGCCATCAAGTGATCATCTATGTATGATTGCCACGACATCTTCGATTTATTCGAATTTTTGATTCTTGTACGTACTTTTACGTGAGATTTGAGAATTGGAGTACGATTACTTTCTCAAAGAAAAGAAAAAGACGTGGTTCAGTTTCACGTCGGTCTTCTTGCAGCGACGCCAATCATAGGGAGTGGTGAGAGAGGAGAGTCTGATCTTAACCTAGGATTTAGAATAAAATTGGGATGAATTGAAATAGGATTGAATTATTTTATATTAATATTAATAATTAAATTAATACCTGAATTTTGAATAAAAAACTTTCCTACATGATTTTCGCGCATTCTGATCTTTAAATGTCTAAAATATTGTAATTTTCATTTACTTTATTTATAAAGTATTTTATAACACGTTCAACTTTGACTAATTTTAATCAAAATTGACTGGAATTCTTGTTACAACTCCAGCTTTTTGTTTTTCCATTTTTTCATTTTTTTGTTTTTGGTTTTTTTTGTTTTTGGTTTTTTGTTTTTTTTTTTGTTTTTTGGGGTCAACTTCAACCACGAATTTTTTTCATGAAAGTGATATTTTTTTCACAAAAAATCTAAGTTTATCGATGATGTCAATGGATGAACTTTACCCATAAAAAGATATTTTATTACGAACATTCATACACAAACTATTCTTTTGAAAAAAGCTGGATTTACAATAAAGAAAACTTTATTTTCCCCCAAGCCTCTAAATTTTTGTTGCGATTTCTGTATATGACTTTTCCCTTCTATGTTATTAAATGGAGACAAGGAACTTGACCACGATTTTTCTCCATCATGCCCTCGTTTAATAGCAATTTTTCACCCCAAAAAATTAATTTTTTAATCGTTATTTCACTATTCTGCGATTATTTTTTACTTCTTCACTCACAAATAAAATTTATTTTTCATTTCTTCACTCACATGTGGGATTCGCTTTTCTTTTTACGGTCAAAAAATCATTTCTCATAATCACTACCAAACAAGCCTCATATTATATCATAAATCTCTAAGGAGGCTATATTGATAGAAAACTAAAGGAGCGTATTTAAGCAAAATTCTTATGTGTGCACGAGTTTCAAATAATTGCGATATTGAAATCAATAAATACAATCAAGTGACAATCAATTTGACTTATTCACAATTCACATTCAAGAAATTGGTGCATAAGATTGAGTTGGGTCGATTCAAATAACTTCAATGGTCGACACAAGGAAAGTAGTCATACTCTTTTTCCAACGTATTAGTATCTTTCTTGGTGGTCTTTAGACTGGGCTCATTTTGGGTCACCATTAGCCCAACAGTGTCCAGTAATAGAAGGTTTGGGCCGTTTGGCAGAGATAAAACTTCTACTTTTGCAAAAGTTCCACTTTTAACACTCTGGCCCATGGACTGACTGACAAGTATAATCACAGTTTCAGCACCTGAAGAAAACAGCCATGTATCAATTTTTCTTTAAATTTTGGATTAAACTATTCGTACACCTTGTTTGACCCTTTAGTTGACAGATTGATGACATGAAAGTATTATAATGGTTGAATTAAATGTGCGAGATTGATAGATATTGTGAGATTGTGCCAAATTTAAATTTGATAATGTGGGATGTGAACCAGAATGTACATTTAGAAAGATTTTTTTTTGAAAGATTTTTTTTAATCTGTTTCAAGTTTTTTACTTGGATTAATTAAGCCTCTTTTTTAGCCACATTATTGTAAAAATGAGAATGAAAAATATAGTCATTATGAGCTCCATACAAGAGATAAAAAAATCAAATATGGTGACTTGATGTGATGTATAACTCTCCTTCTCAGTTTTTTCTCTTATTTTCAATCACACAATCTTTCATAAAATAATATTATACTCAAATAAAAAACTTTTCATTCTTTTTCAACCACACATTTTTTAAAAACACTATTCCATCGATTAAAATTTGGAAAGAATGGGAGCCAAACGAGGGCTACATGTCTTACCTCATTTTATTTACTAATTCAAATTTTAAATTTTCACATTTTTTATCCTATAAATACTGTATTTTAGTATGTTCAAGTAAAATGTCATAAACAACCACACTCCTACAATTAATTAGTTAACTAGCTTATATCTACTAAATGAAATATACCAAAGTTATCATCCGAAGAATAGTACTATTTACAGTAGCTCACTATCAGTCTTCCTACATGACATGTTTGTGACAGTTAATGATTTGATCTATGAGACAATAAAAAACTACCATATTAATGCATTTTAATACATGAATCAATTAAATATAAAAAAAAAAAAAAAAAAAAAGACCTGAGGGAAGGTAGTGCTCTGAGCCCAGACACTGCCATCATGACCGAGGATGGCGGCGGCGGCGAGGTGGTTACCTTCAATATCCGCCATCAAGTGATCATCTATGTATGATTGCCACGACATCTTCGATTTATTCGAATTTTTGATTCTTGTACGTACTTTTACGTGAGATTTGAGAATTGGAGTACGATTACTTTCTCAAAGAAAAGAAAAAGACGTGGTTCAGTTTCATTTATGCTGGCGCATCTCGATGTGGTTTAATGTCATTTTTGCCCCTCCAATAATTTCTACCCTATCCCCATCATTTATCTATAATCTATAATATATTAAAATATCACATCAAGAGACAATCATTTTTTAAACAATTTTAATCCCCTACAATTTAATTATTTTAATAATATCTTACTTTTTCATTTTTCGATAATAATAAATACTACATAATTATTGTCATTTATGAAATTTGTGTTATTAACTTTCAATTAATTAACATTCATATTAACCTAAATTCAATAAATTTCCACTTGATGAATCTTGAATTACAAGAATTATGTATTTAGAAATTTTAATAAGTATTTAAATTTATGTATTGACAATTAATTTTTATGTATTCTTTAATTCGTCAAAGACTCATTAAATCCTTCAACAAATTTGTACAAAAATATTACTTTTACATTAGGGAAAAATTCACAATTAAGGTATTAAGTATTGACAATTCAATTCTCATGTCTAAAGTTTAGAAAATGCAAAAATCAGGTTTTCATTTTTTAATTAAATATATTTTATTAATTGAAAATAATAAGATCACATTTATACAATTAATGGTCACGGGTTCATAATTATAAGTCACAAACTTATTTATTGGTCACGTATTATCAAATTAATTGATCACAGATTATTTTGATTTCACAAATAAAAAATTTTATAGGTCACAATTTATTTAATTGGTCACAAATGAAAAAATTATAGGTCACAGTTTATCGATTACATATTTTTGGATTTGTTGGTCAAAATTATCAAAATTTAAAGTCCCAAATAATCCAATAGTCAGTCACAGGGCAAATAGTTGATCACATTACATACTACCACCACCACCTTCGATGCCACCACCGCCACTTTCCACCATCCCCACCCCGTCACTGCCGCCGACACTACCACCACCGCCAGTTTCACTACCAACAATAACCACCCAATTC